TTTGATCAACAAATTGGAACGCATAGGAAATATAAAACTAAATAAACATCGCTCTAACATCTCAGTCGTGCGCCGACACAGGTACATTCGAGCTAACAGGGTAATTTTACCTCCTCGAACCCGTAACTAACACCAGGGTAAAGAAAAGAAAAGAAAAAAAAATGATTAAAAGGGGACAACATATTAAAAGCGAATAAGTAACGAATAAGGAATAAATAACGAATAGGTAACGAATAAGGAATAGGAAGTAAGTAACGAATAAGTAACTAATAAGGAATAAGTAACGATGAAAGAATAAAGAATGAGGAATAAGTAACCAACTTGACGACCCTTCGAAAGAGATTATTCTCCTATTAAGTTTGAGTTACACAATAAAACTGACAGATTTGGCTTGGGTCAAATTTGAAAGGTTTCAACAGACGAAGAAATTGATGATGATCGATTGAAATAAATGCAGAAAACACATTAAAAGCAAACAAATTGTTATTGCTGGTATTTGTTTTTGTATAAACCAATGGAAGTAGGTTCTTAATATTGAAGACTTGGTCACTTTGATAGGCCACAAGTCTAAATGCCACATGTTAAGATAGTCGGTAAGAAAAATTCGTGACATGGGCTGGATGCCATGCGAAATCGAACAGTGGACTAGTGTTTTAAGAAATTGGACAATATTGAATAAAACGAATGATGCTAGAGTAAATATAAAAGTGTTTATATGGGGTAACACATGCAGAAGAGTGAAAATAAGTTTTAAGAACTTGATATGGAATATTTGTGTTATGGTGCTATTGTAGGCAAGGTGTTAATTAAAACTTCAAGGAAGAATGGTATGTCAAAATTATGTAAAACGATAAAAATAAATTACGTACTTATAGACTGTTCAAAAATGTATAAGGTGTAGAAAATTATTTGATTTCTAATGTATCTGGTAGATACAGGAGTGCTTTTGCAAAATTTAGAAGTGGTGTAGTGCCCATCAGAATTGAAACTGGGAGAAATGAAAATATTGATATAGAAAAAAGAGTATGCCAGCAGCGCCTGCATACGGAGTATATATCTCCCACTTGATACGATATTCCAGTGCTTGTATTTCCTATCATGATTTCCTTGATAGAGGGTTGCTGCTCACAATGAAGCTATTAAAACAAGAGTTCCAAGTGGTGAAGTTGAAGTCATCCCTTCGTTAATCTTACGGACGCCATCACGAGTTGATTGACCGTTATGGAATATCCGTTTCACAAATGATAGCGGATATGTTCCAATTGTCGTAACTACAATCTCGTCCACCTTTCCCCGAATGTGACCCACCGAATTAGACTTATTACCGGGTTTGTACTAACATGAGCAACATGACAAAGCCACATGTGGAGCAGGATCTGCTTACCCTTCCGGAGCACCTGAAACAAATGAAAATATTGTATTTTATACTGATAAAATCTGCTAATGAAATTTTATTAAAGCGAAAGTTTTTTTTTCTACTCATGATAGTTGACTTTATTTGTATTATACTAATTAGTTTTATAGTATTTCCTAACTCTTTATAGAGTGGCTCTTGTTGTTAACTTGTGTTTTATTATGCTGTATATTTTATATGTAACAAGTTGTGAGACGTTAATTAAGTATTTGTCTTGTCTTGTCTTGTCCAACATGGCACGACCACAAAGTCAATTACAGTCCATTGCAAATATTTCGATGTGTTCATACGCCTTATTCATAATAAGATTTCTAACAATTGACTGATCACCGATCACCGACAGAAAACAGAGAAGGCAGTAGTATTCATATGATAAAAAAATTGATATAAATCTCTGTCAGCAAGTATAACTGTTTCTTTCTGAGACTTCCCGCTACATCTCGCATTAGTAGTGTTTTTTTTACCAGGGACTACTCTATTTTACCCTGTACCAATTCAGGAATATGGCAGTTGATATCAAATAGTCCGCTTCTAGGTATGTTAGCGTTTGTTTTTGTTGCAGTTCAGTGTTTCTGTTGTTCCGTTGTTTTCCTCTTATAGTTGATGTGTTTCCCTCGGATTTAGTTTGTAACCTGGATTTGTTTTCTCTTCATCGATTTATGACTTTTGAACAGCGGTACAACACTGTTGCCTTTATTTACCCAGCTTTTACCCATATTACAATAAGATAACTGGGCCCTTAAATTCGAATTTTTAAGGAATCCTTGAGGTGCGTAAAATGCAAAAATGAGATTTCATCGAAGCTATTGATTTCTGAATACGCATTTTATTTTTTAAACTTGAATTTTCCAAAATGAATAGATTATATATATTAAGTCGAATTTGCATGCACAAGCAAGTTGGTTTAAGTAAAAATTTAAGGTTTCAAACTGGTTCTACAGATTTAAAAGCAAGGTTGCAATTGCACCTGTAATAAATAAAGTAAGATCAAATATTTCCAGAATGTGATAGTCAATAATCAAAGCATGTGTTTTGATTGTCTTCAAATAGTTTCCGATAAAGGTAAAGGTTTTGAACAACAATTTTCAAACTGCCGTTTAAAAAAAGATTATTTAGAATAAAAAAACATGTTTTTCATTTCACAAAACAAAATCGTCATAAGTCAGGACCCACCCTCAAATTTTAAAAAGATATTTTACATCTTAAAAAAAATAACCAAAAAAGTCTTTTATTCACGAATAAAACAAAGTTACTGTAATGTTTCGTTAAATTCAAACTGGAAATTCTGGAAAAATCTTATTATGGTTTATATTTCGTTAATTTTTAAGGACATGTGTTCAGCACAAAATGAAAAAAGTTGGTTGTTCGCATCTCATATTGTCTTTAAATATCCAGAGCACTGAAGATTAAAAACTTCATAATTGACATTATATTTAACCTAACATATAATTGTTCAAGCGTAACGTCCAATAAACATCGCATCTCATATTGTCTGTCAAAATCCAAACAACTTAATATTATTAATCGAATATTTTTAAGGATTTGTGATTCGTTAAAACTTGATCACATGTACATTTGTATTTGCTCAGTTTGCACGCCAAAACTGTTGTGTTTAGCTTTTCGTAGATCAAAAACAGCATATTGGACAGGGCATACAGCATGTTACTAAAAATAGACAATAGAGATGAAGAACAGCAATAAAAGCGCTGTTCCCTTGCTTTTTGTGGTTTTTTTTTGCTGTGAATGTAGTGATTTTGTTTTGTTTTTCTATTATATATTTAGAGGATGGTCGTTGTTTGCCACTTTATATCTGTTTAAGAATGTATTATGACAATATTGAATGTTTTGTGTAATGCTGGTCAAGGAATTTGAGTTTTTGATTATTTTCTTATCTTAAAATCATAAAAAAAGTATTAAATGAGATCATATTTTGCTAATTTCTAATGCTATATTTTTAGGACAAAATAAACAATTTATCATGCATGAAATTATACTAATCCTCATGTTTAACTGTTCAAGCGTAACATTCTGTAGACAGAAACGAAAAACAACTCTATGACTTATAGTATATATCACATATCACATTGACCACCGGATCTCGTCAAGAACTTAACTACGAATCAATGTTTACAAATCGTTTAGATCATTGTGTGAAGATGGTAGGCGGGCAATTGTAACTCACATTTTGCATCATTTCTTCATCCGTTGTATGTGGTATACCTTGGAATGACATTGACGTCATATTCACGAGAATAGAGGCGAATGATACCAAAGGGACATTCAAACTCATAAGTCGAAAATAAATTGACAACGCCATGGCAAAAAAAGAGCAAAAAGACCAAAAGACAAATAATAGTAAACAAAACACAACATAGAAAACTGAACACTGAGCAACACGAACCCCACTAAAAACTAGGGTTGATCTCCGGTGCTTCGGAAGGGTAAGCAGATCCTGCTCCACATGCGGCACCCGTCATGTTGCAAATGTAAGTAAAAACCCGGTAATAAGTCTAAATCGGGAGGTGACATTAGGGGAAAAGAGGACGGCGTGTGGTAGCGACAATTGGAACGTATCCGTCGTCATCTGTGAAACATATATTCCATAACGGTCAATCTTCTTCTTCTTAGCATGTCATGTATGCCATATTCACAGGGACCTTTTTAATATAAATTAATTGACCATGTATTCACTTATATGAATACCTATTATTTATAATTAAAAGTATGTTTCATTTGAATTTGCTTCTATGCATCAACAATATGTTGAAAAGAGGTTCATAACGGTGAACTATTTTGTTGTATGAAATTGGAATTCAATCTATATTGTGTGTAAAATCAATTTTCAATATAAAGAAAAAAATGTGGAATGATTGCCAATGAGATGACTATCAATTGAAGAAAAACAAAGATGCGAACAATTACAGATCACTATAAGGCCTTCTACACTAAGCAAAACTTGTACCGTTTGCCCTTACAGATTTAAAAAAAAATTGAAATTAAACTGACATGACAACGCATAAATAGTGTTGGGACTTTTAACAAAAAAAAAAATCTCCATTGTATTGTCACTACTAAAAGAAAATAATAATTGTCAAGCAAATCATTAACACCTTATGATAAACTGTTGTCAGTTATAATGCATAAATTGCACATTCTATTCTTATCTCAAGAAATATGTATGTTTTTTATATAACAACGTATATTTTGACAGAAAAAGAATTGAGATATTTTGTCATTATATGTAAAAAAGCGTTTGAGGATATATTTATTTAGTGAATATGCAAACATAACTTCCATTGCAAACATATAAAAAGTAAAAACAAATTTATCAAATGTATAAAGAAATTGTTTTGATGAAGTTGTAATATTAATAACAATAGAAATAAGATTAATAATTATGATAATAACTAAAAAACCAGATATTTTACACATAAAATAAAACATAACTAAAAAGTTTTTGGTTCACTGTAAATCAAAGAAACTGCAATGTTTCGAGCAATTTCGACACTGGAAATTCTTGAAAAATATTATTTTGGAATATTTCAATTTGTTTATTTTAAAGGAAATATTTTCAAAAATGAAAAATTCGAATGTTCGCATCTCAAATTGTGCATTAAAAATCCAGAGCACTAAAAAAACATCATGCATGACATTATATTTCACCTAATATAAAATGATTCAAGCGAAACGTACATTAAACAGTATCGGAAAGCAACTCTATGGCAAATAGAACATATAAAATTGACAATCGGATATTGTCAAAAATTGAGCTGCAGGTCAGTGTTAATAAACCATAAGATCTTAAGCTTCGTTTGGTTGTTATGTTTTTTTCTATTGCTGTATAATCAATATTTCCGATAAGTCGTTAACATGGTTTTATAGCTACGGAAAAAGTTAACAAGGAATAAAGTATATTTCTCGAATATTGATGCATATTACCACTTGTTGAATATCAGTTCTACTCGCAAACTTATGTACTAGCAATTCTACTGAATGATATATACCAATAAGATACCATTTATCCATCATTCTTATGTGGCGATGCAAGATAAACCATTGTTACTCCCACTTTGCAATCATTTCGTCGTCCGTGGTATAAAAAAGCCAAGAACAAAAATACCGAAATCAAAGGCAAATTCAAAAAGGGGAAGTCAATAAAAACTGACCAATTCAAACGCATTCAATCAACGGAACAAGTGAAAAACAACTGCCATATTCCTGACTTGGTACAGGCATTTTCCGCAGAAAATGATTGGTTAGGCCTGGTTTTATAGTTAGCTAAACCTCCCACTTGTATGACAGTTGTAGTTCCGTTATATTGACAACATTGGGTGAGCAACTAAAAAATCCATTATAGGTTAATGTGACAAAAATGGGTTCTTGCAGCCAAAACTGTGTAAAGACACATAAAAGACATAAAACACAATAATGAAAAAACAAATTCAAACAAACATACAAATTAATCTAACAAAGACGGCAACAAAAAAGGTGTAGTAGGTAGTAATAATGTCATCATAGATGCGAGGAATAAAATTGTGTACGCCAGACGCGCGTATCGTCTACAAAAGACTCATCAGTGACGTAAATTTGACAATGGCGTAAAAATAAAGTTTTTGTCGTTGATCGTACATACCGTTTAAAGTATACACTTTCTCCAGAAAGTAAAATTTAGGTAAATATAAACATAAGGGTAAACAAAATAGAAACAACACTGTAAAAACCATTTGTGTCCAAATCGCACCTCATGACACACCTGCACCAGGAATGCTCAAAGTTAAAAAGGGAAAAACCCGATGACAGGATGCATAAATACCGAGTCACGTCAAAAGTCATACGACCAAAAGAAAAAAAATTGCACGAAGACAAATAACGGGGAAACTAATGTAAAATAAAAAGATACAAAACTTCAACACCTAGAATCTATAACCCAAGACCATCTTGTACTATTTGTGAAGTAGACACTGAATATTTATCTATAAGGTCTTGGTACTTTCCGATGAACTTTTTTATTAAGGGTGGAAAAATCGAAGGTTTTGATAGAATTTATTTCAAAAAATTATCGAGATTTAAGATTTTCCAGAAGTTCTTTTGATTCATAAGAATCCAAATATGTATCACAGTATTTCTGTAATCCCTCTTTCACTGCAGACACAGTTTTATTTAATCTAACGGACAATCCCTTTGTAGAACACGCAGATGAGCCGGAAATGTACCGAGTACCGTGTACTTGCGGAGTCTTGTGAAGGTAAGATATCCAATATAAATAAGGTAAGTCCTCAGAGTTTTTGTTCCTTGAAATATTCAATGAGGCGATGAAGGACTTGTGGTTTGCTAAGATCTCATCTAATGGTTACGTTTTCGTACGTGGGATTACCCAAGTGTTTATTTATTCGTAAATCTTTGATAAGACACTCGTAGTAATAGGATTAACACACAAAACAATACGTTTGAAGGTCTGTCCACAGGAACAACACCATATTTGTCGTGAAGAGACTTCAAACATTTCACAGCTGTTTTGTATCTGAATATGGACTAAGGTGGAACATTTACACAGTTTTTCAACATGTGGATTCTTCGTTTTATCAACGATCTAATTGTTTTAACCCCTTCTGAGAGAGTGTTTAGTTCAACCTGACGTCATATTAACACACTGCAGAAAATATTTACACCATCTTCACCTCTTTAACTCCTTATAACTCTTTTATCATTTAAAAATCTAATTCAATTGATGAGGTGTATACAGAATTAATGAGAGGTGGAATGCTTGCCATTGATACCGAATGACAAAGTTGTGAATAGTTATAGTTCACCGTACGCCCTTCAAAATAGTGCATAACTCATACCGTAAGTCCTTACAGTTGGGAGGATTTTTTTTAATCAGACTATGACATGACAAAGTGCAAATATTTTTGCGTTTACTAAAAATAATCGTGGATGTTTTGCCATTACTTTACGAAAAGTCATTATTGTTTAGCAATTACTATACACCTTATAAAATACTACAGTTGGTTAGAATGCATCAATTGCACCTTCTATGAATATTTCAAGAAATCGTTAAAATGGCTTTTCGGAAAATGTTTTTATAAGGAAACTTCATTTATTTCAACTGGAAAAGTGGTGAGAGAAGTCGTTTCTTTTTTAGCGTTTGCGGGAGTCTGTTTTTTTAAAACTGATGCAAACATAAATTTTTCAAACATATAAAAGGTAAAAACAAATTCATCTATTTATTTAGAAAAAAGTATTAATAATAATAAGGGTAAAACAATTAATAATTATCATGAAAATTTTTAAAAAAATCATTTATTTTCTATCTTTCAAAAACATATTCTTTCAAAAACACAAAAAAGTATTTGTTTCACTAGTAAACTAAGAAATGCAATGGTTCGTTCAAATTGTAAACAGAAAATTCATTGAAAATTTTATTTTCGATTATATTTTGCTAATTTTTAAGGACATATCTTCACGACAAATTAAAAAATGTCGCTTGTTCGCCTAATGTCTGTCAAGATCATTAGCATTTAACACTAAATACATGCATGAAATAACATATCAGTTAATATATAGTTGATCAAGCGTAACCTACAGTAAACAGAAACGAAAAACAACTCTATGGCGAAGACTATATACAAACTGACCATTGGATCTTTGTAAGAATTAAATACAGGTCAGTGTTCATAAATCATAATATTTTGAACCGTGTTGATTTGCCATGATCTTTTTTTATTGCAATCAAGACAATATGTCCGAAAAGTCGTTTAAATGGTTCTTTTCCTACTTCAAACGTTTACAAAAAATAAAGTATATTGCTCGAAAATTGATAAATAATGAAAATTGTAGACTATCAGGTGTATATCAGCAAATAAGGTCACCGTTGGCAATCATTTTGTGTGACAATGGTAAAGGAGCAGTTGTTACTAGAAATAAGAAGATGTGGTATGAGTGTCGATAAGACAACTCTCCATCCAAGTCACAATGTGTAAAAAGTAAACAATTATAGGTCAAAGTACGGTCTTCAACACGGAACCTTGGCTCACACCGAACAGCAAGCTATGAAGGGCCCCAAAAGGACTAGTGTAAAACAATTCAAACAGAAAACCAACGGTCTAATCAATATAAAAAACCAGAAACGAGAAACACTTATGAACCACATCAACCAACGACAAACTCTGAAACAGGTTCCTGACTAAGGACAGGTGCAAACAAATGCAGCAGGTTTAAACGTTTTAACAGGCGCCAACCTGCACCCTAACCTGAAATAGTAGTGTAACATTACAACATAGAAAGACTTAATACAATATCAATTGAAATGGCTTAACTCAATCAAAAAGACATGACAGGGTATCTACACGTCTCAATCTTCAAAATCGCTTATCTAAAAATACTACCATCGCTAACATTTTTAACAATAAAAATCGTGGTTACCCTTCTATCGATAAGTGTCATGCCAAAAATGACTTACATGTACCCGTCTTTCCACCAACAATACGGTAAGGTCCACGTTTAATGGTCGCACATTTTCTTTAAATTTTGAAACTGATATAACTTGAAAAACAAACAGTATAATTTATTTACTCACATGAAACAAACCGGGATGCGGTATTCAGTACGTAGGTGAAACTGGACGATATTTATCTAAACGCACTCAAGAACATCTGTATCGTTTTAAAAGACCCGATAAATTCAAAAGTATCATTTATCAACACCTTAAGAAGCACAATCATCCTATTAAATATTTAGCAGTTCAACCTTTAGAAGTAGTAAATAAGCAGCCTGGTGAATCTCATTCAAAGTTTGTACGATCGCGGAAAATAATTGAATTAAATTGGATTAAAAAATTACAGACAGTCTACCCTCTCGGTCTTAATGATAATATCATGGGAATTGGTAATATATCAAGAACCAATTCTGTTAACATTTTGGATATAGTTTCTAAAACTGTTCGTAAAAACCGTTCTCATGGTCGGAGAAAAAATCGCAATCAAAGAAAATTTCGGACCAATCATACCAATATTTCGGACCTAATTTCTATTTCAAAAAACAACGGCAGACATTATCTGTTAACAAAGCTCTGTTCATTACCGGTTAATAAGTTAAATAAAATTTTAGAGGATTGCAACACAATTTCATATAGCAGTCCTAAGTATGAAATCGTTCAAATTATAATGGCATATTGTTATTCTAAACTGTTTCCCAAAATTGATCGCCCTGAAGATCATAAAAAACAGTTTATTAAAATAAAGTATGTCAATAAAGGTTTTGATTTTGTAAATATTGCCGGTATTTTTAACGACCATTCTGTTAAAGAACAGATTCCGGGATATTTTGATAATACTGAGCTCCCTCTTATTTGTTATATTTACAAGAAATCTACCCGAAAATTTGTGTTTAATTATGGCCAATTGTGTAAAGATGTTAATATCAGTGAAAATACACCTACTTCGTGTAATTGCAGTAATTCCGAATACATTTATGGACCCATTTCCCATGTTATAACAGGAGATCTTAACATCGTTCAAGACCGAGAGTTAAAATCATTCCTCAGTAAAGGACCTAAATATCGTCCCCCGTCAATTATTAAATTGGAATGAGTGTCGTAATATCATCCACGACTCACTCCATACTTACTGTTTGAAATGGATAAAACGGGAAAAAGCTGACAAACAATCTTTGGACTCTTTTTTTAAATCAGTAATGGACATAGTTGATATACGTATTCAACATTTTAAAGAACATTTTACTCTTAACAATAACCACAATAAATCTATTTCTCGTATCAAACATAAACTAAAAGAACTAGCCAAGGAATTTGTTTTTGTCCCGGCCGATAAAGCTGCTAATAATATTATTATTGTTTGACGTAAATTTTACATTGAGGTTCTGAAAAAAGAAATCACCAATTCACCAACATTCCAACTGACTCCATTTTCAGAAAACGACATCTGTAACAAACATAAACTTTTAGCTACCGCTTTACAAGCAGAACCAAATACAATGAAAGTCCCAACTATGTATTGGCTTCCGAAGCTACACAAAACACCTTACAAATATAGATTCATTTCGTCTTCAAGTCATTGTTCCACTACTAAATTGTCTATTCTTCTAATCCAGTACACTTGGTACAATCAAAAACCTGATAATAAATTGTTCAAATAAGGCCTTCGAAAATAGTGGAATTAATTACTTTTGGAGTGTCAAGAATTCGTTGGAAGTACTTGATAAATTGCATGCATATATTGGTGATTTTGAATCTGTTCAAAGTTTTGATTTTTCTACCCTATATACCACATTGCCTCACATTCTCATTAAGAAAAAATCCACACACCTAATTAAATGGGCATTTAAAAAGTCAGAATGTGAATATATATGTTCAAACTCTTTTAGGTCATTTTTTAGTAGCAATAAACAAAAAAACTATGTCAATTGGACATGCTTTGATACTATATATGCCCTTGAATTTTTACTAGATAACATTTTTGTTCGCTTTGGAGATTCCGTATATCGTCAGGTTATCGGAATTCCAATGGGGACTAACTGTGCACCATTTATTGCGGACCTTTTTTTGTATTGCTATGAGTTACAATTTATGACAAAAATCAGCAAAGACCCATCGAAACAACATCTGATACACAAATTTAATAATACTTTTAGATATTTGGATGATATTTTGGCTCTCAATAATGACGACTTCAGTATGTATACTAAAGAAATTTATCCTGTTGAACTTACTTTAAATAAAGCTAATACTAACAATGACCACTGCCCTTTCCTCGATCTTGATATCTATATCATTAACGGAAAGCTTAATACTAAAATATATGATAAAAGAGATGATTTTTCATTTCCTATCGTTAATTATCCATTTTTAGATGGTGACGTTCCCTTGTCACCATCTTACGGTGTTTATATATCTCAACTTGTACGATTCGCTCGTGTATGTAACAATGTTTTAGATTTTAACGAGAGAAATTTATGTATTACTGAAAAATTATTACACCAGGGTTTTCGATATCACAAACTAGTCAAAACATTTACTAAATTTTATCATCGGTATAAGGACATCATTCGTAAATATAGCTCAACATGCAGACTTCTTATACGTTCAGGTATTTCACATCCAATTTTTTATGGAAATATTCTTTATAAAGCACAAAAATGTCAGTATTCACCTCTGAAGCTAACAAAACCTTTAAATAGACTTATTAAGAAGGGATATAGTTACGATACTGTTGTCAGGTCATTAAAGATTGCATATTTTGGCGTTAATATTGATTCACTTATAGGGTCTTTGCATCGGCACTAAACACATTTATTTAAAAACCAGTTGTTGGCATGACACGGGTTATGTTCTTCTCATATATGTTATGATGGTATGATACTAAACCCCTAACGGGAAGGATTGTGCCTGATATTCATATGATGAAGACATAATCTTTCAATCAGTTTAATTGAAGTCTGGAGCTGGCATGTCAGTTAACTGCTAGTAGTCTGTTGTTATTTATGTATTATTGTCATTTTGTTTATTATCTTTGGTTACATCTTCTGACATCAGACTCGGACATCTCTTGAACTGAATTTTAATGTGCGTATTGTTATGCGTTTACTTTTCTACATTGGCTAGAGGTATAGGGGGAGGGTTGAGATCTCATAAACATGTTTAACCCCGCCGCATTTTTGCGCCTGTCCCAAGTCAGGAGCCTCTAGCCTTTGTCAGTCTTGTATTATTTTTAATTTTAGTTTCTTGTGTACAATTTGGAGTTTAGTATGGCGTTCATTATCACTGAACTAGTATATATATTTGTTTAGGGGCCAGCTGAAGGACGCCTCCGGGTGCGGGAATTTCTCGCTGCATTGAAGACCTGTTGGTGACCTTCTGCTGTTGTCTGTTCTATGGTCGGGTTGTTATCTCTTTGACACATTCCCCATTTCCATTCTCAATTTTATATTAAAACAAAAACAAGTAAACATACACTAAACGAATAAATTTGATGCATGACACAATGTCAAAAAGACAACTATAAACTAACTATTTGCAAACATATAAAGAGCCCGAAAATCACAAGTGTAAAATAATTCAAACAGGAAAACCAACGGTCTAATCTATATAAAAAACGAGAAACGAGAAACACCTAAGAAACACCAACAAACGACAACCACTGAAACATGTTCCTGACTAAGGACAGGTGCAAACAAATGCAGCGGGTTTAAACGTTTTAACAGGCGCCAACCTTCCCCATAACCTGAAATAGTAGTGTAACATTACAACATAGAAAGACACACTATAAAATATCAATTGAAATGTCTTAACTCAATCAAAAAGACATATTAACAAAAAAAGTAAACATACACTGAACGAATACATTTGATTTATGACACAATGTCAAAAAGACATTTAATTCGTGAAAGCCTTTCGTATATTTTTATAAGCAAATAAATAATCCATGGAAAGGTAATATATTCCGTTTGTTCTGACATTATTGAATGGTTTTTCATGTTAAAAGAAGCGGCAGGTCCCAAATGGACAATCAAACTCATAAGTCGAATAGAAACCGACAAAACCATGACAAAAACGAAAAACGACCTAAGGACAAACAACAGTTTACAAAAGACTACACAAAAAACTAAAGACTGAACAACAAAAACCGAGGATGATCTCAGGTG